TATATATATAAAAAATAGCAGAAACATAGGAAACATGATGAGAAGAAAAAGTGATCAATGGAAACCAACTCAGAAGTCATATGTCTGTTAGAATTAGCAAATCTGAGTGTTAAAACTATTATTACAATTATATTCCGTATGTTTAAAAAGCTAGGGGAACTATTGAACATGGAAGATGTCAAAAAGGCTCAAATTTTACTTTCAGAGATGAGAAATACAATGGTTGAAATGAAAAATATACTACTGGATGGGATTAATAACTGACTAGATATTGCAGAAGACAAGATTAATGAACTTGAACACAGTAATATCAATTATACATCATGAAACACAGAGAGGAAAATGACTTTAAATAAATGAACAGATAGATCATCAGTGAGCTGCGGGAAAACTTCTAACAAACTGACATAGGACAGATTGATAGCATGCAAATGGGATTAAGTAGATATATTTATGTTTTATTATTATTTAATTATCTTAAAATTTTGTAATTAGAAGACAACCCAATTTAAAAAATTAGGCAAAAGATTTGAACTGATACTTCACAAAAAAAATAATAAGCTGTAGGATCTGTGGTTCCTACAATCATAATATATAGTCATTGAAGAACATTCCCATCTTTCTCCATTACCTGATAGTCTCAAGAAGATACACTAAGTACATGCAAAATTAGAGTGTACGTTTCACATGGGGAAGATATGAGCACGCATGATTATTGGGATGCATGAAAGCACCTGGAGCAATGTCAACATATGAAGTTTGAGAGATTAGCTTCAGTTTGGAACTGGGATCTTTGGCTATCAGATGTTTCACGTCTTATGTAACAAGAGCAAAGGGTCACTACTATCAGGCCCTGATGGTAGGAATTGAAACCCCATCCACAGTAGCTGCACATTTGGGGACAATGATTGATAAGGTGAGAACCAGAGTAAGAAAACTCAATAGATTGTTTTGGAATCTGGGGGCAAGATCCAATTTCAGGAAATTCATATGGAAGTAATTTCTATTTGGCTCTCATTGGCTTTTTGATAGCTCACTGCATAATCAATAAAGATGTGACACCTCCTCCTCCTGTGCCTGTCAAGGTACCCTCACCCTGCACCTCAGGAATTCACATTTACAATTCAAAGATACCCACAGTGTGGCTTTTCAGTGTATTTTACCCCAAAAAAAGTTAATTGGATACAGTGTTGAAAGTGATATCAACCCCTCGCAAATAATGTCATTTTTAGATTCACATTTCAGAGAATTATGAATAATAATTTGACAGCAATAAATACCCTTTAATCACACTTGTCTGAAAAGATTATGATGGTTGAACATTCCTATTACAATATTCTTACAATATTATTGTTAGATAGTAAACTGAATTCTTCCTAAAAATAATTTCCTTTAAGCTAGTAAATCTTCATCTCAATTCAGGTTGGTCTTTACCTCTTTGACCAATTTCTAGTGGCCCTTTATATACCAAATAAATGGCTGGACAGCTGCTCTGTCACCCTCAACAGAACTCTGACACCGCCATCTCTCTCTACCTGCAGCCTGGACCTGTATGTCCCAGCCTCTCTTGTCACTATCTGCTACCTCTCAAAGTGCCAAGCAGGAGCAAGTACAGAATGTGTGGGACTCAGTACAAAATGAAAACGTGGGGTCCCTTCTTCAAAAATTATTATATATTTAAAATAGTTGCAGCAGAACATGAAGCCAAGTATAAGCTCTCCTAAGCACAAAGCCCTTTGTGACTACAGGGACCACCCGCCCAGGAAGCCAGGACTGAATTGACAGGCTTCTTAATCAGCCTGCCTCCCAAGTTCCCTCAAGTCCACTCGTTACCCTTTCTCTCTCAACACCATCATCTCTTTGCTTCCGTTTTGCTCTGCCTCTCTGCTTCCTGTTGCACTGTCCTGCATGGGTGTTACCCATTCCACGTCCCCCGAGAAATTCCCCAGGAAAAGCCCCTGTGGAGGTCATGTTTTCCTAGGCTTTACCCTTGCAGCTTTTGCTCTTTCATTTCTGGGAAAGCAAAGGAGGGTGGAGCTAGGTGGTCACTGCCCAGATGCTCTGGTGGGGTAAGCAAGGCAAACTGTGGGCCACTTCCACATAGTGGCTATTTTTGTTAACATCTAGACTGTTTTTATAATGATATTTTTCAGACATTTTCTCTAGAGTCCCAGCATTCTGCCTTTTTTCAAAACATAATATTGACTCCTAGATTTTAAAGCTGTTAAGCTGTTGAACTGCCTTTACTGTAGTAAATTGCTAATTATCTCTGCTTCTTACAGCTCCAGAGAAATACAGAGTGAAGCCCAAGATCAGCCTTGTCAAGAGCACCAGATTTTCTTGTATGAGTAGGAAAGTGATTAAAACATTTAGAAGTTAAGCTTCTAGTAAAAACAGCCCTATATTTGTATTAATTTTTTATTATATAAACACACATGCTTATTATTTAAAATGTTCAAGCATTTATAAAAGGAAAGAGTAAAAATGAAAGATCTTGTCTCCTTTCCTCAACGTGACTCACTGTTAAAAATTTCCTGTCTAGTCTTTAAGATTTTCTCTGCTGATAAAGACGACTCTATCATCCATCTCTCTCTCTATNAATTTCCTGTCTAGTCTTTAAGATTTTCTCTGCTGATAAAGACGACTCTATCATCCATCTCTCTATCTATCTATCTATCTATCTATCTATCTATCTATCTATCTATCTATCTATCTATCTATCATCTATCTATCTATCTATCATCTATCTATCATCTATCTATCTATCTATCTATCTATCTATCTATCTATCTATCTATCATCTATCTATCTATCTTTCTATCTACCTACCTATCTATCCATCCATCCACCCCGCTCTCTCTCTCTATATATATATATGTGTGCGTGTGTATATATTTATCCCCTTTTTCCCCTTCATCTGTCGACCTCATTGTACTATATGTACTAATCCCTAACATGCATTTGATATTTACAATGTCTTAGACTTATTTGCATATCTGTCATAGCTCAGTACTTTTAAACATTTTTTATTATAGTTGGCATACAATATCGATTAGTTTCCATTGTACAGCACAGTGATTCGACATTTAAATACCTCACAATGTGATCACTACAATAAGTCTAGTAACCATCTGCCACTGTGTAAAGTTATGATATTGTCATATTCCCCATGCTGGACACTGGATCTCCATGACTCATTATTTTATAACTGAAGTGTGCCCCACTTTTCACCCATAGCTCAACCACCCCCTCTCACAACTATTAGTTTAGTCTCCGTATCTACAGTGTCTGTTTCTGTTTTGTTGTTTGTTTATTTGGTTGTTTTTTTTTTTAAATATAAGAGTTCCAAATATAAGAGAAATTATATGGCATTTGTCTTTCCCTCACTTATTTCCCCTAGCATAATACCCTCTAGGTCCATCCCTGTTGTCGCAAATGGCAAAATTCATTCTTTCTTAGAGCTGAGTAATATTCCACTGTATATACACCACACTCTCTATCCATTCATCTATTGATAGACACCTGGTTTGCTTCCATATCTTGGCTATTGTAAATAATGTTGCAATGAACATAGGGTTGCAAATGTCTTTTCAAATTAATGTTTTTACTTTCTTCAGAGAAATACCCCAAAGTGGAATTGCTGAGTAGTACGGCAGTTTTAATTTTAATTTTTGGAGGAATCTCCACATTGGTTTTCCTAGTGGCTGCATCAATTTACAACCTAACCAAGGGTGCATCGGGGCTCCTTTTCCCCCACACCCTAGCCAACACTCGCTATCTGTGGAATCCTGGACGATAGTTATTCTGAGAAGTGTGAGGCTGTGTCTCGTGGTTTCAGTTTGCATTTCCCTGATGATTACTGACGGGGAGCATCTTCTCACGTCTACTGTCCATCCACATGTCTTCTTTGGAGAAGCGTCTATTCAGATTCTCTGCACATTTTTTAATCAGATTGCTTTTTTGATATTGAGTCCTATGAGTTGCTTGTATGTTTCTGATATTGTCTTTATCAGATATATCGTATGTGAACAGCTCCTTTCACTCAGTAGGCTGCCCTTTCAGTTTTTGATGGTTCCCTTTACTGTGAAGAAACCGTTTAAACGGATGTAATCCCAGTTATTTATGTTTGTGTTTGTTGCTCTTGCCCGTGTAGCTCAATATCTTTAATAGCTGCATGAAACCCCGCTGCTTAAATCACAATCTTTATGTTAAAACCAGAATTCCCCCAGTGAAAGAGAGAATATTTCCTATTTCTAATGTATTTCACTTAAGCTTCACTATGACCCTTTGTCAAAGGGCCGAATGAAAAGAATTTGCTTTCACACTACATTCAGGAAGGCTCTGTTACCATCAGGAGCGCCTTCTCCATAGCTCATTTATTAAAAGCCGTAACATAAAACCCTGGATAGCATTTTAGCGAAGCTTATATGATTTAGCTTTCGACTCCGTCAATATCGAACTATTTTAAAGAATTAAATGTGAGTTTCCATCTTTATTGCCCTCATGAGACTAAATTCCTGGGTGCTGATACTGTTACTGGTTGACATTATTTCCCTTCTGTCTATTAGAGCACCTGACACCTGCCTTAGGTTCGATACATGAATTATTTAGTGAAGGGTCGGTAAACAGACAAATTTAGAGGGATTTGTTAAAAGTGTAGATATAACTTTAAATTTTATATGCCAAAAAATGTTAAAAGCTGTTTCTCAAATACCCATCTGTATTACGGTGGGAACTGTTCATCTCCAACATAAAAGATTTTGTGCCTCTTCTAAGAGAAACGTCCTACAAAACTCTACCCTTAGAGTCAGGTACTCAATGAATAATAATTGAGTTAAATAAACAAAACTCTGGAAATCACAATTTCCACAGCTTATCCTTGATGCTCCACACAAACATACGCTGCCTTTTTCTCAAAGGCGTTGATCTAAGAATACAAAATTAGAGCTTCGGTGCTGGTAAAGCATGGAGCTCCTAATGTGGAATGCCTAAAAGGCAGGGCAAACTGCAGAGCAACCTACTCATACTCGACATTTCAGATGGCTAAATTGCGTTTTTCAGCATTTAAGTCATTTTGAAACCTTGTAATTGTGTCTCTCTGGCAACCTACAATTTTTCATTTGTTTTTATTTACTCAATAACCCCAGAAAAAGGAGACTCAGCACTGAGAACCATGTTTCTTTGGGCAGCACCAGATTTTTTTACATGTATTTCAGGTTCATCTTCCCCCTTCATCACAGACTCACAGCCTACGTCTAACAGTATAAAAAATGCAATATATTTGCATTGGATCAAGAATTAATAAAGTCTTTCCCATCTAGTTTATCACTTTAATCTCTTCATTTTTGTTTCTAAAGGAATGTAGGTTAGTTTTGCTTACATTTATATGAGCTGGGCCACAAGCAGAGTATAAGAAAGTTCATTGAAACAATAAAAACAACTTATAGATGTAAAAGGATGGTTGCCTAATACTCTACAATTGATACAACATTCTCTTGCTTATATGCTGAATACTACTCATTTACAAAAGCATCCCTTTAGGGAAGAGACTCTAACTCCATTTGCTAAAGATTATTTACAAACTGTAATGCAAGTAATTGCTAAATATTAATTTATTATCAAAGACTTTTAATTCAAAACATTTTTCTGATCACCTGTCAGATGTACATCTTGCTACTCAGTTTTTTAAATTTATCTTTATTGTTAAGAGTATTACAGATGTCCCTTTTTCCCCCATTGATCTCTTCTACCCTGCCCCTGCCCCCTGCCCCAGGCCTTCACCACACTATTGTCTGTGTCCATGGGTTATGCATATATGCCTATTTGACCCCATAATTGAGCTTCCTTGCCCTTGGTGTCACCCATGCTTGCATTAGTCATCAGAGTTCTTACCAGATGGAGCAAGGACCCTCCTGAGGAAACGAGAGTGTGGGGGTCAGCCCCCTCCTTCAACAGTCGAAGTGCTGAAAGAATGAAAGAGGAGAAGGGAGTTACACCAGAATCTTTCTTCCACACCCTGAACTAAAAATTACAGCATCAGTTGTAATGTGACATCATATGGCACATCCACATCCACTTGCCTATTTGGGTATCTTCCTTCTCTGCCATTAGAAAAGTCTAGGGAGGCAAGGTCCTTGGAAGGTAACGCCTTGGAGGAAATAGTGGGAACTTAAGATATGCTGATGACAGCATCTTACTGGAAGAAAGCAGCAATGATGTGAAACAGCTTTTGATTAAGGTGAAGGAAGAAATGCCAAGCAGAACCAAATCTGAACATCAAGAAGACAAAAATCGAGACATTGAAAGGGTTATTTTGTACAACTTGCTCCAGTCATCAATTCAAAGGGAGATGACAGCCAAGAAATCAAGAGAAGGGCAGCAATGGAAGAATTGGGAAAGATCGCCAAGAACAAAAATGTGTCATTAGAGACCAAGGCTAAGATCATCCACTCTCTCATGTTGTCAATTACTACGCATGGATGTGAAAGTTGGTCAGTGAAGAAAGCTGAGAGGAAAACAATTGATCCTTTTGAAATTGTGTTAGAGGAGAGCTCTATGGACACCCCAGACCACCAGAAAGATGAATAAGTGGGTCCTAGAGCAAATTATCGCTGGAGGCAAATAGTTGTCCTATGATGGGCACATCATGAAAAGGTTGGGTTCCTTGGAAAAGAAAATAATGTTGGGAAAAACAGAAGGCAGCAGGAAGAGGAAGGCCAACTATGAGCTGGACTGACTCCATAAAATAAATCATAAGCTTGAGCCTACAGGAGCTGAGCAGGGAGCTGAGGGCAGGACATGGTGGACGTCACTCATTCACTGGACCCCCAGGAATCAGAGCTGACTCGATGGTTCAGAACACACGCCACAAGGCTTTCCCTTTCTTTTCTTTCCTGTTTCTGAGAACCACCCTGCTACGTGGTATGTAGACACTCTTTCTCCACCTCTCTCTATACTTACAATAAATGAACGCACTTCTTGTTCCCTTAGATACTTTCACCTTTAATTTTAAAAAGTCCATTCAAGATGACAGTAAGTTTATTAAATGTTTACCAATGGTTTCCCTAGAAGATATACAGAGCTCTTACCTTAACATTAATTTTTTTAGCAAATGAAATCATTCATCTTCAGTTAATTAATATCAACACAGTGCTCTATAGTCTTTACAGCAAAGCAATTATACAAGTGTGATCTCACTACAAATACAGTGTGAGGGGGATTATATCGTATTATTTAAAACAGTAAAATGCCACCAGGTTTTTACATACAATCCACTATGCACACATGTAGTGAATTACACATAACATGAATCACTGATACACTGGACTGGGGTTAAACAGATTTAAGTAAGAGGCCTGGTTACTGAACTATGTGCCTCAGTTTTCTGTCAGCAAATAACAGACAATTGTTGGACTCCTGTCATACAGGTATTGAAAGAATTAAACCAGGCAACATATGCAGCATGCTAATCATGCCTCCCGGCACTTGATAAGGATCACTAAGTGATTTCTATTACTATCATTACTACAATCATAAAATGCCATAATAAAGTATCATAAGATCCATATCTTATTTATTCAAAATTTCTTCAAAACCCTCTGATTACCAAATGCTGAATTTAAGTAAAGTACAGAAGTGATGCAAATTTAGCAAGATTCACTTGAAGGGTGAGTGTGAAACTTGTCAAGCTGGGAAAGGGAGTGAGGAGGCATCATACAAGGCAACGGGGGAATGACGACCATGGGCAAGGGAACAATCCCTTAGGAGTGGAAAATTGGGAATGGCCTGGAGGAGTGCATTGTGGAGAATATTGTACCTCCCACTGCAGGATCTGGAAGTCATTTTGTGGCCAACCAGGAGGAGCAGAGGATTTTAAACAAAGGAGTAAAAGATTCATTAGGTAAGTGCTATGGACTGAATGTTTGTGTCCCCACAAAATTCATAGTTTGAAGCCTAATCCCCAGTGTGATGGTATCAGGAGGAGGAGCCTTTGGGAGGTAATTAGGTGGTTATGAGGGAGGTCAAGAGAGTGGAGCCACCAAGATGGGATTAGTGCCCTTGAAAGGAGATGAAGAGTCCAGAGCTCCCTATCCAGGCCATGTGAGGACAGAACATCTATAAACCACAAAATTGTCCTCACCAGGGGCCAAATCTGCTGGAGCCTTGATCTTGGACTTCCCAGCCTCCAGAACTATGAGAAATAAGTGTTTGCTCTGTAAGCCCCAAAGTCTACAGAGCATTTGTTACAGCAGCCTGAGCTAAGACAATAAGAAAGGGTATCACAAAGGCTAGAGAGGGTCTCTTGCTCTCACTTTCTGTTTAAATTCTGAATGGAGAGTCAGGCTCAGTCCAGAGGGTGGCTGCAGTGAGAGTGCATGGCTTTGCTGCTGAGGATAAAGAATGGACTAAGCAGCCTGTGGCTCACTGAGAATCCGAGCCACACTGCAGAGAGTCTGAGGCAGCACTGACAGCCAAGGCGGGTTGGGCCATCGTGTCCAGGGAATCCAGTGCACAAAGTGCAGGACACTGGAGGGAATCACAGAAGCAGGGGGGCCACTCAGTGTGCTGGGAATGCTCAAGGATGGGTGGAGATGGAGGCCTAGACGTCTAGATAGATGAATAGATGGAAGGAGGAATGGAGAGATAGACGGGTGGATAGACAAACATGTGTTTATGACTTTATTACCCATGTAACTGATATAAAGGCTGTGCAGTTCACATTTACAATATTAATTAAATGTACAATACTCATTATTATAAATACCATATAGCCAATTGACTCTCACAGAATGCTTTTGATAATTCTTACTGAACTCTCGTATGCACAGGCAATCTATGGTTACAATTAATGAATGTGACCTTGATGTCTGGTTGATATTTTCATTGACATTAATGGGTAAGCGCCAGGGGTCGCAAACTATGGGCACAGGCGGCAGGCCAAACCCAGTCCTGGCCTGTTTTTCTACAGCTTTTGAATGAAGACTGACTTTTACAGTTTTAAAGGGTGCATAAGAAATAAAACAGCAATAAAAAGCAAACAAAAATCTCAAGAAGAATGCAAACATTGACTTTATGTGGCCCCAAACATTTAAAATATTTACTACCCGGCCCTTTAAAGAAAAAGTTTGTTGTGTCTTGAGTAAGATAAAGTGAACCAACAAAGTATGCCAGAACATTGCTCATTTATCAGTGACCTGAGGGACATTTTTGCTGAATCAGACAATAGTTTTAGACTAATGTAATCATAATTCATCACACTTCTGTGCTGTTCACACCAACATGGCTAACGACACATTCCTAAATACAGCCTGCATCACTAATATTTACTCCATCGTTTCATCAATTCGAAACAATTAGGAAGACAACAAAGCCAGCCCTGATTAGTGGTAGTTTTCAATTTCTATGGTGTCATTCTCTTACCATGTTTGACTTGAAGCTACCGATGTGATATTGCTAAACCCATAGCTGGGAAAAGGTGTGACATACCTCACAGTTACGTGGCATGTCCACCACACACACACAAGAAATGTAAACAATTTCAAGAGCATAAATGAGAAAAAAATGTAATGGGGTAATTAGGAAGTGGTAAGTTTTGAGTATTCATTATTTTTGTTTTTAATAAAATCCACTTAGTTGTAAGTTTATATACTTAGTTTTTAATATAGGCTAGTTTAACAATTTCACAATCAACCAAGGAATTCCTGACATTTTAGCAACTAGCTCTCAGGGGCTATATAGGGTAAGCTCCAGGACACCACAGGGAGAAGCCCCAAAGTGAAGGGGGGACACCATCCAACAATATCTAGGAAAGAGGACACTGCACTTGGGAACTCCTTAATGTCCTTCCCACAGAGCTAGAGGCGGCTCAGACCCAGCCCTTCCTTCATCTGGCCAGACATCTGCCCACAGAGAAAAATTTGAGCAATTTTCTTTTTTTTTTTTTTTTTTAT